GTGGAGTGTGGGGGGGGGGGGGGTGTGAAACCACAACTGTAAAATTAAACCTTGATAAAAATCACTTACAGAAGATGTGGGATTACCTGGATCAGATGACCCAGCCAATGTGCTCTTGCAAACTTTGATCCTTCTCATTAATTAAAATTCAAATCGTACCATTTCATAGTACATAAGAAAGTAGCTAACTAACCTTCCTTTTTAGAGACAGGCTATTTTAACTATTTTGGTTTTCTTTCTTCAAAAAAAAACCCAAAAAACAAACAAGAAAAAAAAACTGTAGACTACTGTGGAACTATTTAAAAACAACAGAAATAAAATGTAAGATTCATTTTCCAGCGAATAAAATGCATTGTCGGAAAACATGATTTTATATATCTACCTTGTCTTTATAATCAAGTATCAGAAAAGATGCAAGAATAAAACCATTTTCATCTTCAGCCCCCGCCAGTTGCACTTCAGAAAATAACCAGTTAACAAGCAGCATTAAGACTTAATGCAGCTACACGTCCTGCCAGACCAAAACAATGGTGTAGTGAAGAACACATAGGACATCACATGCCAGTCATCTGCCCATGTACAGGCACAAGTCAGAGCACCGAATGTCTGACAGCAAGTGCCTGCAAAATTTATTCAAACCCCATCAACTAAATTTTCCAACTTAGCAACTCTGCACACTTCAGAGAAGCCAAATTGACAGATGTCCTTTAATAGTAGATCCACAGATTCCATTTCATGATCACAGCTCCCTCCAGGTCCCGCATGGCCAACAGTTGCAGTTATCAAAGTAAGCAAGTGAGAGACTAGTGCTTTCTACTCTTACGGGATTTCTACAGAGATGTCCCTGGGTCATTGCTAAGCACCCTGTTTGCAACAAGGTTGTCCGACAGAGATTAGATAATACTGAAGCAGGGAGATGACTTTCCAAACCTCAGTTTCTCCTTCCTGCAAATTCCTATTTTTTTCTTGCCCATATGGAAAAGGGCAATAAAAAGAAAAAAAAAATTAAGAATTTATTCTAGTATAAAGATATTTCTGACATGTGAAGTTACACATTTTGTATTAGTTGATTAATGTTGCCTACTAGTCATGGGAAAACGCTGTCAATAAAAACTTCAGTATAATAGTTTAAAACATTGACAAACATACCTTCATTTGCTGTATACGAAAAGAAAAGGATCCACAGGGCATACGGTGCAGCACTTGGGAGCCTTGCCATCATTGACATTGGCCAGGTTTCGTAGGACAAGCTGTGCTGAAATTCTGCCAACAGAAAACATTACTACAAGCTTACATCAGTGTCCCAGTTAAGTGTTTAGTTCTTCCTACCACTCTGCTAGATGTTAGGATTCAGATCCCCTGCAGTGCCTGATCCCCTCTAAAGCTTGCTCATGGAACAATCAGAAGCGTAGAAGAGTAAGGATAATACAAATGAGCTAGGAGACTTTTCTGCAAAGTTTTAATTACAGAGGATACTAAACTGACATGCAGTGAACCTACTCTTTTAGCTCTAGAAAAGCAAAGCTGCTAGTATGCAAGATATTAAGAGGGTAAGCGCTAGACCAAAATCACTGACAATCAACATGTCACCCAAGCCCTATGATTCCACTCAGATGACAAAGAATTTTAAAATGAAGTGCCTGATCTATTGACTAAAATGTTTTCCCCAAGTCCTATCACCAGTACGCTAGATAAGAACATCATCCTCTTAAAAAAGGTTCTTAGCAAAGACCTCTAAGCCTTGCTTCACCAGAATGCAGACTGATTAAAACAGCAAATAATTAGAAGTTGTAAAACACATAGCTCATCACGACATAACCAGCACAACTTCCAAGAAGGAAAATTATGCAGCTTTTACATATTAAAATTCTTCAAGTATAGCGGAGCTGTGCAAGTAAACTGAAAACAGATGACATCACTAATTTAAGACTTTCAAAAAAACTCATTTCCCCAAGTTTCTTCTGCTGATGCAATGTAGTCACTTAGTGGAAGAATATCTTCTGGATTAGATATGGCTACCAGCTTCCATATCACTAGAAACGTACGTGATACATTTAAAATATTGGTAAATCTGTAAAGTCATGCTAACTAATATGGAATAACTATGACTTTGCTTTCAGTATAAAGATGGATAAAACTTGTTCAGCAGCACATTGTTAATACTCAACCCTTTTGCCCCTTCTCATGCTCTTGGTATTTTCTAATCTTCAAGTCTGGACGCAGTGTTCTTACTACCCGCATGCTACAGTTGCTCTGCTTACATCTGCAAAGTTCCCAGGTGGCACATTATTTTTTATTTCAAAACTGACGATTCTCTCTGTGTGATTGAGT